GATTTTTTTTTTAAAGTGGCACAAAATGACTAACACCATATGTTTCCTTTTCTGAGGTCCCTCCAGTCATCAACTCATAATGAACAAAAATAGAACGCTGGCTTCTTGGACCTGGACCTGGAGGATGGATACCTTTTGTTTAAGGGGTTTAGAGCTCTGGAAATGAAGGGTGGGGTAGTCACACCTCAACGAGAATGTGAGCAATGTCACTGAGCCATGTGCTCTAGGATGATTAAGCTACTAAATGTTAAGTATAAACTACCCAATAAAAATGATTTTGTTGGAAAAAAAAAGCTGATGGTGACAGTTTGCTGGCCTGCAGCCCTGGGCTGGCCATGCATCTAGATCCCACACAGGAGGGACACTTTGCTGATGCCACAACATACACATCTTAGTGTTCTGGGATCCTGTTTTCTGGGAGTCCCCTGGCCTTGGCCTTTGAGTAGCCCTCTAGAGCATCCTCCCTTGGCGTTCTGGAAGGCCACACCATCATGCTAACAGCACACTTTGAAAGACACCTTCAGGTTTAGTTCAGCAAGCTTCTCCTTCCCAACCTCACACCTGCTGCTTCTGTCCCTGATGATCCCTCTGCCCCTTTATCAGTGTCCCCCAGTCCCGTGCATGGGTGGCTTTCTCACTGTCCCTTTGCTGGCTGCAGTGCCTCTTCTGTAATGAGCACCGGGGCCTCAACCACACCATCTGTGGTGGTTTGAATGAGGATGGTCCCCATGGGCTTATGGGTTTGAATGTTTGGTCACCAGGGAGTGTCACTATTTAAAAGGAATAAGAAGTCTGGCCTTGTTGGAGAAAGTGTGTCACTGGGGGTGAACTTTGAGATTTCAAAAGCCCATGCCAAGCCCAGAGTCTCTCTCTTCCTGCTGCCTGTGGATCTGGATGTAGAATTCTCAGCTACTCCTCCAACACCATGTCTGCCTGCATGCCACCATGCTCCCCAGCATGATGATAATGGACTAAACCTCTGAAACTGTAAGCCAGCCCCAGTTGAATGCTTTCTCTTATAAGAGTTGCTTTGTTAGCTAGCTTCTCTGGAGTGGGTTGTAGTCTGGTTAACTGTGGGTACGTGGTGGGGAAAATAGAGGGTAGGGGATGGGTGATGAGAACATAAAGGAATGGGATGGTTGAGCTGGAACAGGGATGGAGTGGGAGAGCAATGAAAGAGATACCTTGATAGAGGGAGACATCATGGGGATAAAGAGAAACCTGGTGCTAAGGAAGTCCCCAGGAATCCACAAGGCTGACCCAGCTCAGACTACTAGCAATAGTTGAGAGGGTGCCTGACCTGGCTTACCCCAGTAATCAGATCTGTGAATACCATAACTGTCACCATAGAGCCTTTATCCAGGAACTGATGGAAGCAGATGCAGAGATCTACAGCCAAGCATCAGGCCAAGCTCCAGGAGTCCAGTCAAAGAAAGGGAACTGGAATTCTATGAGCAAGGGGCATCAAGATCATGATGGGGAACCTACAGAGACAACCAAACCAGGCTAGTGGGAACTCATGAACTATAGACCAACAACTGTGGAGCCTCCACAGGACTGGGCTAGGACCTCTGCATAAGTGAGACAGTGTAGCTTAATCTGCTTAAGGGGCCCCCTGGCAGTGGGATCAGGATCCATCCCTGGTGCATGAGCTGGCTTTTGGAGCCCACTACCTATGGTGGGACACCTTGCCCAGCCTTGATGCAGTGGGGAGGGGCTTGGACCTGCCTCAACTGAATGTACCAGGCTCTGTTGATTCCTCATAGGAGGCCTTACCTTTTCAGAGGAGGGAATGGTGGGTAGGTTGGGGGGGAATTCTAGAGAGGCTGGGAGGAGGGAAGAGAGGGGGATCTGTGATTGGTATGTAAAATGAATAAAAAATTTCTTGAAAAAAGAAGAGTTGCTTTGCTCGTGGTATCTCTTCATAGCAATAGAACACTGACCAAGACATGGTCTTTGTCATTTACTTCTTCTAAACCACCTATTTGTCTCATTTGCTGCTCTGTCTCCAGCATAACAGTGTATGATAGCAGATGTTTGTATTTGTTAGAAAACCAAGAAAGTGAAGTCATGAAGACTAAGAAACAAATCAACATCTAAATTTGGAATTACATTATTCAGCTCTCTGTTACTCTAACAGAATGCCTTGGATAACCAACTTAGGAAGAAGAGAGGTCTGTTCTTGGCTGGCAGTTTTGGAGGTTTCATCCATGGGCAGTTGGCCCCATTACTATGGAGACTTCAGTGATGTAGTACATTGTGGCAGGATCATATGGCAGAGAAGTCTGCTTACCTCCTGCTTGTAGGTAAAGTAGAAAGGTGGAGGAAGGGGCTGGAGTCTCAGGGACACACCTCAAGGACCTCACTTCCTCTGATGAGGTCCCATACCCCAGAGATTTTGTCACCTCCCAAAAGTGTCCAGGCTGAGACAAGTCTTTGGCACATGGGTCTTTGGGGGAACATGCCTAAACTATAGCAAATATCACCCAAGGTCTTCCTTCACCATCTACACCCAACAAGTCACAATGTCCTGGCAGCAGGAAATCTTTGTGAATCTCTTACCCAAAACTCCTAGGACCAAATACCCAAGAACTCACAACTTTGTAGACACAAGGGAAGATCCAGAGAGTAGCTGGATACCTACCACATGCCTCCCACATGGATTGGGGCAGCACCTCCAATCACCTCTGTGTCTGCAGGAAGCATGGGCCCTGATAATCAGGTACAGCAAGAGCCAGCCTCTCTTGGTGCAGGTCATGGTATGTTACCAGCTTGTCAAGACACTTGCCATTTTCAGAGCATTTTGGATTTTGGAAATACAGGCCCACGGCTGGAGAACTAACTATTTTAAAGTTCAGATTGTCTTTCATTTTTCCCAGTATTTATTACAAAATGATCAAAAGTACAGCAATGTTGCAGAATTTACCAGTGTATGTGGGATAACTCATCCCTAACAGGCTAGAGGGCCAGTTGGACCAAACCAGGAATAAGATACTTTCTGACAGCCAACCTGGGTCTGCCTAAAGGCCTTAGCAACAGCAGCTGAGACATGATCTGGAGATGACCTGGACCAATGAGAGGCAGCCATGTCACACCAGCAGATGCATATTCATCAGACCTTCCTTCAGGGTGGGGTGGAGGGTATATAAGGCTTGCCTCTTCCTGAATAAACTGAGCTTGTTGTTTCCACATTCTCCTAGAGTCTGTGTCATTGACTCTGCGCCTACTTGGCCCCCTCCCCGAAAGGGAACAACAGCACGGGACCCTGCAAACAAGTGCACACCTGCATTTGTGCTGCTATCCCCACAGCTGCGACAGGGCTTTTAACAAAAGGACTTCAGGAAGGAAGAGTTTATTTTGGTTTCTGATGAGAGGGTACAGACATCATGGCAGGGCAGGCACAGCAGCATGAGGGTGTGGGTCACACAGTGTCACAGGCAGGAAGCTGAGAGGTGAATGCTTCTGCTTCACTCATTTTCTGTAGTTTATTCAGGCCCTGGCCTTAGCCCATGGAGCGGTACAGCCCATAATTAAACCGTGTCAAAACACCCTCACAGACACATGCAGAGGTATGTCTCTTAGGTGATTCTAAATCCCACCCAGTTGACAGGATTAAGCAATCCTCATTCTCCCCTTACCTGGACTTGAACAACCCCATTTTACTCACTTACCTTATCACACATATCCACCTGGCTCCTCTGCATAGAGAAGCACTTTAACCATGTGCTCAGCCCCAGGCTGGGTTGTGACTTGTGTTTTGCTTTGTTCTGAGATGGAGTGTGACTATCTTGTCCAGGTTGGCCTTGAACTCTTGCATTCAGACATCTTCTTCCTTAGCTTCCAAGGTCCCTGGATCACCCAATGTGACCCAGGCATCTCTGATGCATTTTAAAGTAAGTGACAGAAATAGCACCCTCCCCCCTAAGCACCCCACTATACTGCCACCCCCCCCCCCGTGTTCAATATTGGTCTTTAGGTTTGGGGGGGCATATAGAATTTCCATAAAAGTGCACAGATCTGAAGTGGATACTGATTGCATGTTGATACATACACACACTGGTAAAATGTAAACCTTTATCAAGGCTCAGAATATTGCAATCAACTCAGAAAATGCTTTCAAGGTTCCTTCTAGTTCATTTCTGGTCCACCCCCACTCTCAGAAGCACCCTTAGCACTATTTAGGCTTTTCCCACCAAAGACAGTTTTGCCTCTGGGACAGTAAATAATTTTGAAATCTTCCCCCAAATTCCATCCTTAAAACTTCCTTCTAGCCCATTCAACTCGACTCTGTCTGAGGTTGTAACAGTCATGCCTCCGGGTACTATTTCCATTTAGGTGAGGTGTCACTACCAACAGGAAACCTCTCAGGCCCATGGCTCCTTCCCACTCCACATCTATACCCACCTTATAATTACTGGGTTCACTGACTGCCGCTCCCCCTTCTTCCTGTTCTGTGGCAAGGAGCTCTTTCCCCTGAGGCCCAGAGTCGTCCCAAAGTTGTCATTCCTTTAAAAGTCAACCCAGGAGGGGAATGATAGCTCAGTGATTAAGAGTTCTTGTTGCTCTTGCAGAGGACCTGGATTTGGTTTCTAACACCTACATGGTAGCTCACAAACACCCGTAACTTCTGTTCCTGGGAAAATGATGCCTTCTTCTGACCTCTGTGGGCACCAGGCATGCACGTGTTGTACAGATATACATGCAGACAGAACAGTCATACACATAAAATAAAATATATCTAAGAACATTTTCAAAATTCAACACATGAAGTTCACTATTGAGTCTGAGGTCAATATCACATTAAAGCTTTAAAACATTCATTTGGGTGCTGTTTTTCAGTGTTGGAGATGGAGCCCAGGGTTTTTTGTGTGTACGAGGTGAGCACTCTGCCACTAATGACACCCCTAGCCCCTGTTTTATTGAGACAAGGTAGATAGATAGACCACGTTGGCTTCTGCCTCTTGGGTGCTGGGGTTATGGGCATGTGCTATCAGGCTCAGCTCCTTTCATTACAGGTTAAATACACCTCATCTGAAATGCCTAGGACAGGAAGTATTGAAGATTTCAGGGCTTTTTCTTCGTGTTTTAGAATGCTTGCATACACATAATGTGGTAACTTGTAGGTGGGACCCAGGTCTGAACATGACATTGTTTCTTACAGCCCTGTGTACAGAATCTAAGGGTAATTTTATATCTAGCTTCAGTGGTTTCATGTTTTGACTATTGCCTGTCACATAAAGTCAGGTGTGGAATTTTCTACCTGTAACATCATGTCAGAGCTCAGAAAGTTTCAGATTTTGCTGTATTTGGGATTTTTAGATTAAAGGTGCTTGATTTTTTACTATTTGTCAGGATTTTATGTAAGGCAGTGGTGGGCAGTGAGTT